GGGAGTAGCATCCTCAGGAGTAGTGTAGCGAGCAAATTCTGGAAAATAGTCCTCAATCTTCAATTTCCCAGCAAGGACTTTCTCAGCGAGCAGATCTTGCTTGTTGAGGAACAGAATCACAGAGATGGTACGCAGCCACCTGTTGTTCCAGATGCTCTCGAAGAGGTTCGGAGCCTCCTGCAGGCGGTTGGTCTGGTTGACCTCCTGGATGACCCTGTTGTAGCTGCTGCTGGCCACCACGAAGATGATGGCAGTCACATCATTGAAGCACTGGATCCACTTGCGGCGTTCATCATGCCGGCCACCCACGTCAAACATGTGGAAGTTGACTTTGTTCACCTGGAACTTGGTCTCAAAGATTCCAGAAGTCAGGATGCCGCAGCGAAGCAGGTCCTGGTCGCTCGGCACATAGTCGGCCTGCTTGATCACATCGATCTTGTCCAGGAAGTACTGGGCGCAGTCAGTCAGCTGGTACTCGTTGGAGTGTTGGTAGCAGGCACGCTCCTTCATCCTCCCACAGAGCCTTGGCATGCTCGTAGAATTCGGGAGGGAAGTCGAAGTCAGGCACGTTCATCACCCTCAGAATGTAGTCCACTCTGAACTGGTTCTCAGGGTTGGCCAGCTCCACAGGGGGCACCAGGTTGCTCATGGTGGCCACAATGGTTTCAATAGCCTCTTTCAGGTTGTTTTTGATGTCCTGCACTTTGGTTGCCTTCTCATCTCCATTAAACCCATTAACATGCAGGATCCTCATCTGCTTCACAGTGGTGCTTTTACCAGATTCTCCAGCACCCAGCAGCAGCAGGCGGTGCGTGGCCCGGTAGACCTGCTTGTCCTTCTGCAGCTGCTTCTCAATCTTTTTGTTGGCCTCGCGCTGCGCCTGATCCTCGTTGCGCTGGTCCTCGGCCTTACTGTTCCCGAGGCAGTGCATAGCAGCAGCGGCGGCGCCGGCGGCCTGACTCGAGCCAGGAGGGCCGGGGCAGCGCCAGGCTGGCGGGCGAGCGTGGACTGGGCCCCTTGGCCGAGGAGTGCCCGGGGTGGACAACGGGGTGCGGGCCACAGGGTGCGGTCCGGCACGGAGGGGAGGGTGGTGTCGGTCAGACCGAGCGACGCGCGCAGCTCCCCGGCCCTTGAGCCGAGGCCAAGAGGCTGATGGCCGCCACCAGGCCGAGGCGGACCAGAGCAGGAGCTGCGGGAGCTGCTCTAACACTTCTTTATCTTACACTTTGTTGCAGTTTTCAGGGTACAAGATTTTCTGTTTTGCTATTTGTCCTTAAGCATGTCTTATTCGTGCTATTTTAAATAGTATTGCTTTTATTTTGTAATGTTTGACGGTTCATGGCTAGTGTATATAACACAATTCATTTCTACAGATGGACATTGCATCATACAAACCCAAACTGAAGCTCCAGCCAGCATTGTGAGTCACTCCTGGACTTTGAGTGAGGCATGGCTGGTATCAGTCTCTTGATGGCTCCAGCATCTCTACTGAGAAGTTTTCATCTCTGAGCAAGGGATTTCTGCCTGCAGAAACATCAATGAGGTGAGCAAGAAAAACCCATGGATGATCCTGTAAGTTGAACTGAAGAAGAGAGCGTACATTGTCAGATGTACTCTTTTGGGGAATATCAGGTGCTCACAATAGAAGTCATCCCTGGGCTAGGCTTGCCAGAGCCTCTAGCAGGGGTGACTGCAAAAGATCCAGAGAGACGAGGGGAGGCTTCTGGCTCACTTCCCCTTGGGTCTAGAGCATTGTGTAAGCTTAGTGACATCATTCTGTATGCTACAATAATATCCTTGTCTTTAGGCTGCAGCTGTGTGCCCCCAGGCTAGGCAAAGGCCTCTGCTTACCCATCTGTGGAAGGTACCGGCAGCTGATTGCTCCCTCGTCTCTCCCGTGGGGCCAACTCTGGGTCTCACACCTCAGACCAAGGTCGATCTCAAACAATTCTCAGGGTGGAGTAGAAATCACTAGTAGGCAAAACAAATTTGTGTGAACAGTCCCTCCCTTTTCAGGACAGTGAAGAAGATAAAAAGATAAAAGAAGTAAGAACCACCAGCCCTCTGTGGCCTCGGAGGCAGTGTTTACCATGGCCTGGACCCCTCTCCTCCTAGTGCCCCACTGTCACTGCACAGGTGAGTACAGGCTTCAGGAGTCCAGGGTTACCTCCATAGATTGTGTTAGCTACTGTGGTTCTGACCATGAGGACACATAATCTCGGTCTCGCCGCAGCACCCACGAGTGTCTGTGTCTGCAGGTTCCCTCTCCCAGCATGTGCTGACTCAGTTACCTTCTTCTCTGCATCCCTCGGAGCATCTGCCAGATTCTCTCGCACCCTGAGCAGTGGCCTCAGTGTTGGTGACTATGTGATAACGTGGATACCAGCACAAGGCAGGAGATAGCTCATGAGTTTTAAGTCAGACTCAGAGAAGCAACCAGGGCTCCAGGATCCCCAACTGCTTCTCTGGATCTAAAGATGGCTCCACTAACTCGGGGATGCATACACAGTGCCCTAGACCCCAGGGGAAGTGAGACAGAAGCCCCCCCTCTTCTCTCTGTGTCTCAGGATGCCTCCACTAACTCGTGGATGCATACACAGTGCTGTAGACCCCAGGGGAAGTGAGACAGAAGCCTCCCCTCTTCTCCCTGGATCTTTTGCAATCACCCCTCCTAGAGGCTCTGAAAAGTCTAGCCCTGGGGGAACTTGTATTATGAGCAGCTGATATTCCCCAGAAGAGAAGATCTGACAATGAGTCCCAGCAGCAAATACAGGTTCCACTGTGGGTACCCCCTGTGCAGACCCTGAGACAGACCCACAGTGGGCCTGGCCACCTTGGAGTCTTTCAGTGGGAGTCCTGTGAGTGGAGTCACCGGAGAGCCTGGTCACTGTTGGTCCACAGCATCCATGGCCACACCCCTGTTCTGTCTCAAGGTAACTGATTTTTTTTTTTTTTTTTTTTGAGAGGAAGTCTTGCTCTGTCACCCCAACTGGAGTTCCATGGTGTAATCTTGGCTCACTGCAACCTCCACCTACCAGGTTCAAGCGATTCTTGTGCCTCAGCTTCCCAAGTAGCTGGGAGTACAGGCGTATGCCACCACACGCAGGTAAGTTTTATATTTTTAGTAAAAACGAGGTTTCACCATGTTGGCTAGGCTGGGCTTGAACTTCTGGCCTCAAGTGATCCACTTTCCTCAGATTCCCAAAGTGCTGGGATTACAGGCGTAAGCCACTGTGCCCAGACCAAAGTAACTAATATTAATAAACAGCCTTTCCACAGAGGACTTCTGTATTCCTCGGAGGACACTTGGGACACGTGGGAAATATGATGACTGTCCAAGTTAAGGAGGCTGCAGGGAGCAGGGAATGTAGAGGGCTCTGGGAGCAAAGGCCTGAGCAGCTCCTTCCACGGGGGCCAGGGAAGGAGGCGACTGTAACCTCGGTGTGTGAGTGGAGAGTGGGGTCCTGCTGGGAGTAAAGAAAGCATATCGTAGTCCAAGATGAAAGAGGGAATTTGGGGTGATAATCGGGCACTTTAAATGGCTTAGTGGGCATGGCAAAATATACCACTGAGAGTGGACTTGAGCACACAAAGTGGGAGTGGAAAGTTGGGTCAGATCATTTGCATCCAGAGGTCAGATATCCTTATGTGTCACAGTGAGCGTCTGGGTTGTTTCCTTATCTGGGGTTGATAGAGATTGTGAAAAGGAGGCCGGATGGAAGAAACTGACTCTTTAGAGGGACATCCCTGGTCTTGGGTTCAACAAAGAGCCAGAAAGCAGCAGAACAGGCCAAGGGATTAGGGGCTGGTCTCAGGGATATGAAGGAAGAAGAACGTGAGAGAAGTTCAAGAGGAAGAACCCACAGGGCGACTGTGGCCCTGGTCAGAAGGTGAGGGAGGGATGGGGATGAGGCCGAAAGTTGTAGCTGGGTTGACCAAGTGGATTTTATCATTACCATCATGCAGGAAGGGGGTGAGGGAGAGAGACAGAGAAAGGAGAGGAAATGTGGCCAGTCACTAGTGTGACAGAGAAGAACTGGCACTATCTCACCTCACTGCAAACTCTGCCTCCTGGGTTCCAGTGATTCTCATGCCTCAGCCTCCCGACTAGCTGGGATTACAGGTGTGCACCACCACTCCCAGATAATTTTTGTACGTGTAGTAGAGATGGGGTTTCAACATGTTGGCCAGGGTGCTCTCGAACTCCAGACCTCAGGTGATCTGCCCGCCTCAGCCTCCCAAAATGCTGGGGTTAAAGGTGTGAGATACTGTGCTCATCCAAATTTGTTTTTAATTAGATGGATGTGGTGGTGTGAGCCTGTAGTCCCAGTTATTTGGGAGGCTGAAGTGGGAGGATCACTTGAGCCCAGGAGTTGAAGGCTGTAATGCGCTATGATTCCCATCAATGCACTCCTGCTAGGCAACATAGCAAGACCCTATCTCTACAAAAACAAAAAAGACCTGGAGAAAATTGTTTGTTTAGCTGACAGAGATCGCATAGGCCCTGCTTGATAAAGTACGTTTGTCCATACTGTGGGAGTCGTGAGGAGAGTGTGCAGTAGATGGAATAGAATAGAAGGCTTCCTGGCCCGAGACAGTAGAAACCTCTCTCTACTGTCTCACTGGCTCTGTCACCAAGTACGTACACGAATCCTCCCTAAGGCTGTGCCCACTCTGCTCTCACTGGGTTCTAAGTGGGGATACCACCTGGTGCCGCCTCGTTCACGAACCACCCCTGGCCTTGGGCTGGACTCACATGAGTGGCCATAATAGCGTCTTTAGTGAATTGGTGACAGAACTATCTTTCTCTCCCTTCCCCCTACCCTACCACTCCCTCCAGTTTTCAAACTAAATATTTCCAGGGGAAGTATGGTGATTTAGACAGCTCTCTCATCTCCTTTGGGCCGTGTCAGACTCCAACCCTGGGATTCTGCATGGAGAGACATGATAAAATCCAGTCCTTCAAACCAGAGACCTACTGGGTGCTGCAGGCCAAGGTTCCTTGCCTTTCTCCATTCATTTTGGGGCTTTCTGGGATTGGAGCATGGATTCTGAGAGTCTTCCATCATCATCAGCCTACAGGCTCCAGGCTGAGGGCAGAAGTGTGGGTGGCTGTTCCTGGAAGTGGTCTGTGGTGCCCAGGGCTGAGGGACCCCAGCCTTCATGAGGGCAGTGGGGAGAGATTGGGCCTGTATGTGCTGAACCTGGGTAAGTGGGAATGAGTTCAACTCTGGCAGTGTAGGTTGAGGTTACCCCACAGGAAGCAGTGGCTGCAGTGGTCAGGTGCAAGCACTGGACTGAGGCCATTGGCTTTCAAACTTTTTAAAATTCCTAGAACCCTTTCTTCAACTAAAAGCCTTCACAAAAGCTCACGGTGAGACTTAATACAGCGAGGCCAGTCACTCATGTCTAATCCCAGCAGCCTGGGAGGCTGAGGCAAGAGGATTGCTTGAGGACAGGAGTCCAAGGACAGTGAGCTATGATCATGTCACTGCACTCCAGCCCGAGCTACATAGCAAGACCCTGTCTTGGAGCTGCTCTGGCTAACAGGCTTGGGAGCCCCCAAGCCCACGAGGCTTGGTGAGCTCCCAAGCCATGGTGGCCATACCTAACATTGGCCAGGCACTGGGGATAGGCAGGGGTGGTGTGAGAGGAAGGGGCTCCTTAAGGATACATCAGTCTCAGCGTCGGGCCACCTTCCTGCGACTGCATGTCTGGTTTCGGGGCTGAGGTGAAGAGGACAGGATATCAGCTTGCATATCTGCCCACCCCAACAGGTATAGCTGTGAGCCATTAGAGCCAGGGCTATTTTGCTGCCAGACAAGGACCAGCTTCATCTGTCCTCGTTCTTCCTGGCATCGGGTTCACCCCTTTATCCTTTTTCCT